TTTTAAAAAATTCCATTTTTATATATAATTAAATTACATAATACAACACTTTTTTACAAGTTCCAACACCTGTGGGTTTTTGTAGATGCTGATTTTAAAAAAAAGAGAGAAAAAAAGGTGACTTTACAGACTTTAGAAATTATACTGCTTCCAATTTTAATTACTTTCATATTACATCTGCTCTGTGTGTACACAACCCACAGTTCAACCCAGTTAAAAAAAAAAAAGTGCCAGAATTGTTGCTGAATTACTGTTGGTCGCAGAAGAGTCGCTAATGGCTTAATAGTTGCGCCAAGCACTGGAATATTTTTCGTTTTTAACAGAATGTAGTTGTTCCAAATGCTTTATTTTTGGTGAAAATTTAAGTACGACATGTAGAATAAAGTGACTTCGATGAAATACGTTAGGCTTAGATTTGGTTAAACTTTCCAACAAAGCATCACATCACAGATCAGTCACACACGGAAAGTTAAAAATCTGCTGTGTTTCTGGCTCTGATAAATGCAGTCAGTTTCATGATGTTTTAAAAGACTGCATGCCATTTAAACATGGATGTTGGGGTTAAGAGGGTTAATATATTATATGCCTAACAGGGAAATCCTTCATGATTAAAATCAGGCCTACAGACGACAGTAATCACTGACATATTGACTGTAGAGAAGAAAACATCAACAGTGAACTCTATGAATTGTTACTTTCTCTGCTGGTAAAGAGAGAGTTGGAAGTTGAATGCGGATAATCAATTCCATCATAAATTTTCCTCATTAAATACAGCCATGTGCTGGAAAGATCCATCTCCACATAAATGAACTATTTCCCATTTCAAAGAGAGGAAGCCCAAACATAAGTGAGTTTGCCGCGGGCCTGTTTACTGATGTGCTAACAAAACGAAGCCCTCCGAGGAGGAAAGATGTGGTGTTTGTCTGCAGGTGCCAGCTCTTTCTTGTTCCACATTTTAAAAATGTTCATCTTGCACATCAGAAAATGTTTGTTGTCTTTGCGAATATAATAAACGCACCCTGACTTTCATTCTTATTCACACGTGTGCATTGGTTTTTGTGTGTTTTCATGCGAGGTGAATGTCTATCCTTTGCACAGCTGTACAGAGAGAAATAACTTCCTTTTGTCAAGCCCTGGCTGTCTCCATATTTTGTTGCCTCTGCAGGCCCTCCCTCTCTGTGAAGGGTGAGGCAGTTGCATCGAATCCCAGCAGGGATGCTCTCTTTGATGCCCACTGGCAGGAGCCGGGCTCCAGATACTATTCCATGTGTGTCTAAGCACATGCAAGCGTAAGTCTGAATGCCGAGAGAATATCGTATGCACACAAGCCCAAACAAGTCAGACGCCTGGCCGCTTTGAGGAACACTGGCCTATTTTCACCTCCACTTTACTGGCCTCCTGCAGTCTGTTGGAGCTGCAGTGCACCAAAAGACACAAAAGACAACATCAGTTTGTGTGACACACAGATGGAACGCCAACTGCAAGTTTACACATAAGATGATGATGATGGTGAAGATCAAGGAGATGATTTCAGACTCTGATCTGAGGATCTTCTGATTCTCACTCAGAGTAGTGACGAATCCAGAAAACTCTCCAAGATATGAGCTTATTGATTTGGTGCCAAATGCAATAGGGTGTTGACCCTTCTTTTGTTGCATGGGTGGAAATAAACCATTTTGAAACTCTAGAACTTGGATCAGCCTATCGAGCAATATCTTTTGTTTTTGTGGTACAGCTTCTCGTACCTGCTCAGTCGGTTATGCTCAGCAAAAATAAATTCTTTTTTGATGACCAAGTTTTCATAATAAAAAGCATTCTCTGTTTTGTTTTATCTCATTTGACATTCAACCACATATGGTTAATAAAATATCAATATTTGACTTCTGCAATATAAATGTTTTAACGTAAAGATGGGACTTTTCATGACCATTTCAACGTTTGTTTGTTTTTTGTTCTCTTCTTTTTGATAATTCAATTCATCCATGACAAGAGATTATTGGATCTACTTGTCCAATATTGCAGAATCTGAATCAATGAGAAATGTCAGTGTCTATTTCAGGAGTTTATCTTCAACAGTTCCTGACATATTGTTGTTGAAACAGAGTCCCAAATTTCAGACTGAAAGTGGGTCAACAGAAAACCAAAGAAATCTCAGAAAGTGATGAATATATCAGTCTAAAATATCACAGATATCTTTATTGATATCCACTATTTATGCTATAAAAATTCCAGGCAAATCAGAGACGGTCAAGCAGAAATATTTCTAAAAATGTGATGATTGACCCACAGTGAAGACCTTGACACCATTTCAAGGAGTAACAACTAAATCTAAAGTATATGCAGAGTCTTTTGGCTTTCTTTCGGTCACACATACCCTAAACATCCAACAATATAGAATCTGACACCCTATAATCTACATTTGGTAGCACCGGGTTCACACTCCCAGCCTGCTTTATTAAAGAAGACCGTAGAAGGTGTCCTCAAAGACGTGGCTAATGATGAGCACTAAATGAGAACATGTTGTAAAGAGTTTATCAATGTTTTTTTATTATTATTGTTTTTACTCACACTCGATACGTATCTGCTCCATCTCCGACACCTCCGCGATCGACTCCTTCAGGTCTTCTACGAACTTGAGCAGCTCCTCAGCACTTTGGGCGCAGAAGTTGAGGACCTGCTTCTTGTCTGAGCCAAACGGGGAGAGGATGGTGATTCCATGAGGGTAGTCTGTGGAGCAGGGAGGACATTAAGCCGATGAGCCGCAAGTGAAAAGAAAATATAAGCTGCATTAGCAAGATATTACCGGGTGTTCAGGTATGAAGAGTATAAAAAAGGATTCTAGGGGTCGGTTTGAAGTACAAACTCGTATTTTGGAGAATTTCTTGAAAGATCACACAATTTTGCAGGAACGAAACTAAGCAATAAGATACGGAAGTCTGATTATGACATAAGATGTGGTGATTTTTTTCATTCCAGCAGTTTACAGTAAAGACACTGTGACTTACATTCATTCTCAAAAAGGTGGAACTGCATGCCAAGTAGGCCCATGGCTTTGCAGAAAGTGTAGGCTGCAGAACTCTTCTTCTTTGGACAAAGCTTCAGGATCTGCGGAAATAAAACCGCAAAACCAGAGTTACAGTAGCGAATGACAGGAGCGCCCCCTTAAATCAATTTGTTCCGTGTTCTCGAGACTTTATAAATCTTGTCGATTGTCACGGAGATTTTCATGCCACAGAAGAACCTCAAAGAGAACTCAGAGGGAACAAACTATTTGACAATTTAAAATACATTCCAAGAGCGGATAGTCAATATTAATGTACACTACAACCTTCAAAGTGTTTCAGATTGTGCGCCGGCGCTCTAATTTGTATGAAAAAACAACACCTTGGCGAGCTTATATCAGGATGTATTCGAGCTGTTATGGAGCTTTTTTTTACTGAATGACCTTCCAGATAGAGAAAGATGAGGCAAATCTGTTTTGCAGAGCGACTGTGGGGCATAATTTGCCAGGCAAGGCGTATTAAGCCAATACATCACTTTGGCGCTTTAAACACTTCTTGACGCGTTCAAGCTGATAGAACAGAGGCCAAATTCAAAGAAAAGTCCCCGTCGTTTTTATTCCGCAGTTAAAATTTTTCAAAGACAATTTCCGGCCCCACTTTCAAAGCTGTCAGGAGAGATGCGTCCCTCTGGAATATGACGCACCGCTAACTTTTGGAGCCAAATGAACAATATCGCACTGTGATAATGGAAGATGACTTATCTTCAAATCGGCCCTTTAACCTCCTTTCCTGCAGCGACCAATTACTTTCAATGCTTTGGAAAAACAGGAGGAAAAAATGGCTGCCCTGTTTTGTTTGCTGTGAGGATTGAGAACAACACTTGACATTTGACATAATCATGAGAGTATTTAAAGCAGTACTTTGGACAGGTAACCCCCATGTGGCACCAAATGAGAACTTTAATCATGTCCAACATGAAACCTGTTGTAATTCCCCAGTCTACACAACTTTCTATCTTATCTGTTCTGTGGCTGAAGCGAAACACAACTTTATCACTGACCTTTAAAGCTGCTCTGTTGGGGACAGATCTATGCTTATGGATGCACTGCAATGCTGCATTTGCGACTATCTCCTATTAAAAAAAAACACTGGCTGGAGAGGCCTGAGTTATGAAACAACATAAAAGAGGAGCCTTGAGAAATGGCTCACAGTCGAAGTAGGTGATGGTGCATTGCAGCTGTCACAACAAAATAAGCAGCTTTAAAGCTTGACAGTGTGCAGCACAAACAACCATTTGAGGGTGGTTTAAAAGGCACTGTAAACACGAATACAACAAAGACGAGTACGAATTGTTACACCGAATCTCTCATTACGATAGTCAATTTAATGACGGTAGAAGGCTTACCACAATGAGATCGTTGAAGAGGAAGACTTCTCTCTGGTGTGCTGCCTGTTTTTGGGCCTTGTTGACATCTGTCACCTCAAAAAGTCGACTACAGCACACTAGTCTTCTGTGAGGGACGGAAAGAACCTGAAGACGAAGGAACAGACATCCAAGAAGAGTTACAAATTAAATCATTCCGAGTATATTACTCCTGAGAGGCTTCAGTATAATTAAAAAGACCAGATGAAGAAAATCCCCAAGCAAAAGCAGAGAAAACATGCAAACTGGGAGGCCTTAAAGTTGTAATGGAAGTCTCACATGTTCCCATGCGTCTTTCAATTTTTCAGCTCAAAACACTGTAAAGATGGTTCATTTCCCCACGACTGTATAACTCCTGGTTTTAGTCCTGTTCTTTAACTCACATGTATGGCGAGTTTGCCAAACAATTTTGCGTTTATAAAATCAGCAGTTTAGCAGTGCAGTGTGACATCTTTAGCCCATTGCCCCCATGGAGCATAGGCCATCGACGACCTTCATACATTGTCCTGATGTTCCATGTGGCTACTCTTGTTGTTGTCCTGGGTGTCAGATGGGGAGTCAGCCTCGCAGCTTCCTTTTGGCTTTCACGTCATGTGTCTCTGGGATGGAGACCCTTCCTTGCCCAGGTGGATGTGGTTGGTTGTCGTCAATGCTCCTGTAACCTGTCTTTTTTACAGGTAGGGTTGTTAGCCCTACACAAACCCATTTGACACATAGGTGGGGATGTCAATGTCATCTAGTCTGGACCTTCACCCCTGACCTGCCCAGCATAGTTGAACCTTCCTGATATAGCTCTGGGGATCATCAGGCCACACAAGCCCATCCACTGCAATCAGGGCGACACCTTCGGATGGGAGGCGACATCTTTGGATAGGTAAAAGTCTAAAGTGTGACTGCTGGTGGATACTTAGTCTAAATGGGCTGCTTTTTTAGCCACTATTCCACCCTTGTTTTGTTGTCTGACAACAGAAGCAGAATAATATGTAAATGTGAACAGCTTTTTGGAAATTGGGCTGAATTAAAATGCAGAAAATGTGAGAGCAGAGAGCAGGGGAGAAGTAAACAAGGTTGAATGTGACATAAGCACCCATCCAGTCCCTGTTTATTGGTTTTATTCACTATGACAGCTCCAGCCATCACTGATTATCCCTCAGCGTTACAGCTTCCACAAAACTCTGACCTGTGGACATACGCTATAAACTAATACTGGCAAAAAGCCACTTTACCTGACGCCCGAACCCAAAGGATGTTGTTGTGGTGTCAATAATAAAGCAACCCACTAGATATTCAGTTCCTCAGATGCTGGGAGTGCATGAAGATTCTTGTGTTCACTCTTGCAGCCAACAGCGGAACATTTGGTGTGTTTTGTTGATTGCTAAGACATTTTACAGTTAGCAAAAGCAGCTCTTGAAAGCAAACAAACATAGTACATTATGATGCAGCTGCTCTTTCTTAGTGGTTAACCTGGAAGCAGCGGGCAGTGAGGAGGCAGGGCGATACAAAGTTGGAGCTAAGTGACAACTGGTTCCTCAGTTGAAACATAGCAGTTCAGTAAAAAGTTTTACTGGCTCGTAAAGCTGGGAGGCTATCGAGTTGTGGGGGTCTTGAGGAATGGCAGACGTGAACATCTTTTATATCTTAACAGCTTTTACGTTAAACCTCCAAGTTTCTAACAACCGCAAAACACAACAGACATGGATTTTCATGATATGGGACCTTTTTAAAGACAAATTTCTGAGGCTAAAAGGTAACAGATGCTGGTGCATTGGGGGGTAAACAATCCAATAAACAGAGTAAGCTGTGACAAATTACTGACATCAATGCTGACTTAAGAGAGCTTTAAAATGTTAATTTGAGCAACACCTGCTACTTACCTTTTTGAGAAAATTTTGATAAATATTGAGGAGAACATGATAACAAATACAGGTTTATATTTCCGGGAAGTGTCTATGTTAAGTTTGAGGGTTTTCCTTTACATTTCAGAGCAAGTAACATATCAACTTGATTTAATGTGACAAAGAAAACCTCAGTTTTATAAAGGAATAAAATTAAATGTTTGCAAGTTTTTGCATTGTATTGTGTGTATGAGGGCAAGTTTCCATCTTTGCATCTAAAGTCTTTTGACTGTAGTTGCAGATTTAAAAAAATGGGATTTCTTGAAGAGGAGGGAAACAGAAGGAAGCATTTAAAGTTTACTTAATATAAGTTATTGTATGCTCCCTGTTTTGAGCACATGATTTAGATGCTAAGCCCTACTGTGACTTGTGCAGCTCCAGCATTGAGGCTTGTCCTGCTTGCTTCTAGTAACCGTAGTAGTCCTCTAAAAGGGATGTTCTGCCACAGGTCACTCATACAAAACTTTTATGAGTTGTTGCCAAATCCCGTTATAGTTTTTTCGCCACATCCATCTTGCTGTTTAGTCACAGGCTCCCACACAAGGCCAAACTGGATTAGCAAAGGTGATGGTGGCAGCAATGCATTGCGCTTTGAGGGCTAATGTAAAGATTTTAGATTTTATATATTTTTTTAACAAAATGCTGCAGAGGCCTGGCTTCTCCTCTAGGACTTAAGTGCTTTTCCGAGTTTAAGCAGATTACACTGCAAAAATGGCTCATGCCTTCGGAGAGTGATCTAATCGTGTTGTCACCCCTTCACACTCTTGTCTCGTTCAGCTTTCCGTGTTCGATCGCTGCAGAAATTCGAACAGCAGTTGGATGGGCTGTCGGTAGATGTGGAATTGATCTCTCTTTGGGGGTAAAATACAAATAGACGCAGCCTCCTTTCAGTTTTCTGTATGCGCGTTTTCCAATTTTTCTTCCCTCTGCTCCGTGCAAACGATTTGCAATGCACACAGCCGCCGTCTGTTTCTCTCTCTGCTCGCTCTTCTCTCACCACTGCAGGGTATACAGACTCCAGCCCAGCCTGCTTCCTCATTACACTAATGTCACAAACATGCAAAGGCATCATTAGCTTGAAATACGAAAAACAAGCAGAAAGCTGCACTGGCGGGATTTTTACAGACGAACAGTTTGACAGGAGTTTACCAATGTATAAACAAGATTCCACAAATGTTAGTCTTGGCAAGTAGTTATAGAAATGTTAACAGTGTTGAAGTGAGAAAACATCTGGATCATACGCAAAATGTGTATTTTAACAACCTACAAGTCATCAAATATTTATACAGGAAATAATCTCAAGTGTCATACTTCTTCTTAGGTAATAGATAATACATTTATAATCCACAACAGAGGCACTCAGGCACCTGCTGGGATATCATTTCTAAGAAAGAAAGTTTATCTAAGTCTCTTTCTTTTTATGGCAGACAGCTCCCATTGGCAGGAATAGTCACTTCCCGTCACAACAATCCATCATTGTTTTGGCTATGACAGCACTCCTTCTGTCATCCTGTAGCTACTCATCTATCACTGAGAGACACTTAAAGGCACAAGCCAAAGATAATGGTGGGAGAAATCCTCTCAATGTCACAGTGTCAATGTCATTTGGGGAGTTAACAAGATGTAACGGAGACTAGAGTTGAAATTAATTAAAACGTGAAATCATTTATTTTTTGTTTATATGACGGGATGGTAAGAGTCAGCAGTGACAATTACATTAAGATGATGTTTATGTTTAGCTGGTTCACTGTTGACAGTATTCATCATCTTACAGAAACAGCCCTGCTGAGAGTAATCAGTGATATCCTAATGGATCTGGACTCTCATCAACAAACTTCGGAAGTGGGTTGGCTTAGGTACGAGGTCTTTGAGCTGGTTTTCATTCTCCTTATTAGAGTATTTAAAGTTCTGCTCTCATGTCATGTGGGGTCCCACAGGGATCAATCCTAGGCCTTATTTTGTTTAGTTTACATCTGTTGCCCCTTGGCCTTGTTATTCACCATTTCACAGCTGTTTCTTACCACTTCTACGCTGATGACTCCCAGTTGTATGTCTAATTTAGCCGTGAAAATCACGACAATCTGAATGCTCTGCAATTCTGCCTTACTTCAATTAAGGCCCGGATGGCTGTTCTGTGGCTTTTGAGTTACACTGCCAACTATTTTCACTGGAGACCACAAATATCTGGATTAGCAGTTACAAAGATAATCAGCTTTGTGGAAAATGTATGGTTGATTTGCAGTAAAGATGTTAATTTGCCCAAAAATGTTGTCACAAGTTGGTCAGTGTTGGCCAGCAGTGCCAAACAGTAGTTCAAAACCCTTTAGTAACCTAAAAGTTTGCCGTTGGTGGCAAACATGCCAGTTTTTCATGTCAGTGGGTTCAGAAATATTATAGTCTGGCCCACAGTAATGGACTGATTAAATTGACCAGTGTTTCTGTCCCTGAACACACTGACTGAAAACCTCAAACCACTTCTGATGTTATTTCTACAATTCTGTTTTAATGGATCTGTCTGGTCCTGAATGCAATTTTGCTGGAATGTTTCAAATTGGCTCTTGTATTTGGATGCAATATATTTTGTGATGTTGAATAGCAAAGAGTCTGTGAGGGGGAAAAAAAAAACTCTGCATATTTTATCTATATTTCATAAATAAAGGATTGGGAGGCCTTTTGCACTGATAAGATTAAAAAAGAATTCCCTGAACTGTACAAACATTTCAAAAAGCCTTTCAGTGTTGCGAGTGGGCACACACAGTACATTCCCACATGAATCAGTGTAATCAGTCAATTATAAAGCTAAATACTTCTGCCTCTGTGTCTGTCTCAAATGTGTCCAGTCTGAAACACAAAAAACTTTGCACAGAAAGCATTACCACAGTTGTAACAAAGCAGTACGTGAATGTTTCCGTGTCAGACGTTGACATTTTAAGGTCACATTTGTTAAAAATTCATTTTCATTGTGTTCTGTGTGTTTTAAAAACTTGGAGGTGTGAAATAAAAGCTGTCAGAATATGAGGAAGTCAACCAGCTGTACAAGCCAGGCAGAATTTCATCCATTTTTTAAGTAGAAACTGAGCAACCAATAACTGAAAATTTGCATAATCCTTCCCTCTCACTGCTTGCTGCTTTCAGGTGAAGCCACTCCGAGAAAGCTGCTGCCTCACCATCCTCTACGTTTATTGACTTTGCAGAACTGCTTCTACTCACTCTAAAATGTCTCAGGCATCTGAGTGACATTGATAAACGGGAAAAACTTTGAGACAAACTGGAAGCCAATAAAAAGAACTGGATGTGAATTAGTATGTTTATTTAGCCTGTTGTGCTTTGATTTGATCTAAAGTCAGCCAGTGTTTATGAAGATTCTCAGTCATCCAGGTGCTTCATCAATGCTGAGATTTAAACCTAGCCACAAAAGACCTTAACGAACCCCATTGTGGCAGGGGGAGCACTAACGACTCGCATAATAAGGGGGAGGAGCAATTGAAACCGAAACTCAAGGGTTAATGGCTTCTTTAAGGATAGAAGCATCTGGAACACCTGCCTAGTCAGTCAGAACTATTGAAACCTCTTGGATGAGAGGTGAAACGTCTTGAAGAAACTCAAGCAAGTCCAGTGGCTACGATTAAACTGCAAGAATAGCCAGTGTTTACATCTGTTGGCTTCTCTCTTGCTCTCTGTGCTTGTAAATATTGCATTTTAATGCAGCCAAATTCCCAATTAAGCTGTTCTCATTTGCATATTTTTTTGTGTTTTTGCTGTCAGACAATGATTGAGTGTGGAAAAAGTGACTGATAAGCAGCACGTTAATGTGCAGCATCACTAAAGTACAGATTTTTATAAACGCAACACTGTCTGACAAATTTACTCTACACAACTAAGTGCCACAGCTGTGATGTGAATTCAGCAAATTATTCATGTGAAATGGTCACTCAGAGAGAAACTTAAAAGCAATACAAAGCCACACACTCATTCGCAGAGAGAGTCTCCTTCCTGAAGGGGGCGTAGACAGCAGCAGCTCAGATATATTCAAAGCCTGCTAGAACAGGTCTAAAACCAGGAGTTATGCAGTCGCTGTGCAAGACACATTCTGGAGACTTTCATTTGGAATATGTGCTGAAAAATGATACAATATGAAATGAAATGAAAAATACTTTATTTATCCCAGAAGGGAAATTCAATTCAGAAGGGAAATTCAAAATTCAAAATCAATATGAAACCTTCAGCTAAAGAAACTCCACTGTTGAGCCCAAACACATTTTGCTCCTCATGTGCATCAATTCTACATTGAAGTCTTTTAACCTTAAACTGCTTTAAAAAAAAAAAAAAAAAAAAGAAGTCTAATGATGGCAGTAGTTAATGATGTATCTAGCTGGAGTAATGACCTGAGATAATGATTGAGCTGCTGATGAGACATTTAATGGGTAATAAATGTGCTCCACTAACGCTACCAAGGCTAGGTGATACTGATAAAGGCCTGAGTAATGAGGGAGTGACTTGGCATGGACTTCTGAAAAGTGTACGTGTCTGTGTGATCACGTTCATTCTTTTTGTCAGTGTACAAAACTCAGTGCGTGATTTTTGTAACAATTACATGAAAACTGAATCCACAGTATCTTTAAAGAGGATATTTGGCGTGCGTCCTTACTGTTTTCATGCCTACGATGGACTGTTCAACCTTGGACACGTAGGTGACGTGGTCTTCGTTGGAGCGCAACTCTCTCTGTTGTATTCTTTCGTAGATTCCCACCACCATGTCTCTGGGGATGTCTGCGCCATCATCCACACCTAAGACAGGAATAGGCTGATTACTCACACATCACAGGGTGGTTGCTTTAAATTCCACCAGACAGCCCTGTCCATCTGGAGGAATATGGAGTGACAGCTGTTTTAACAGTGGTGGAGGGACCAAAGTGTGTCTGCTCTGGCCTAAATACAGCAACATGCAACAGGAGGAGACGCACACAAACATGCAAATACACAAAAAAAAGATTTGTGTGTCCATATATACAATGCTACATACATTTGTCTTGCTTCTTAGAGTAGGAAAAAAAAATCCATATTCAGAGCACCAGAGAGGCTACTTCTCTGACTCCTCATGTGTCCTTCTTTGACTTTCTGTCTTTCACTGTCTCTATTAAATAATGACTGAAGGAAATGTGAGAGGAGGTTAATTGGCAAAGGAAAGGTTAAGATCCCGCCTCGCTCGTGGAAGATTTCCCGTCTGGAGCGCGTTGCAGTTCAAGGCCGTGGCATTTTGGCGCAGGTAAAGCTGCATGTCATTAGGCTGAAAGGTTACCCTCCAGATGCACCCCATTATACCGGCACAGCTGTACGGCGCTGTGTGGTACATTGAGTTTTCAATGGGGCAGGATGTGTTTGGAGAAAATGAAGCTGCGTCAAGCGATGGCGGTGTCAGCGAGGCACCGTGGGACACCGCCGAGACATCACTGCACATTACCGAGTCGCAGGGAGAGGAGGAGATGACCAGAGGGAAATGTGTGTAAAGTGTCACATTAATAAGTTGCATTTTTGTTGCTGAGTGTCTCTTTTTTTTCTCTCTCTCTCTCTTTTCCAGCCAGCTCACGACTTCATTGCTTTTTTTAGCCATGGTAGTGACACGGCTCTACGCATGGCAATGTCAACTGGTCCACCACTTTGGTACCCACGATCCACGGAGAATGAATGCTATTGACTTTTGCTTATAGGAAAACGTAAAACTAGATGTAACTACTGAATAGATGTTTTGTTACAAATAGTCCTCATGTAAGAAATTATTTTCCTCTAGTGCCCCCAAAAGGTTTAAATTGGTGGTTTGCAGTAAAATGTCTCAACAACTATCCAATGGGTTGGTTGAAATTAGTTCAGACTTAAAATTTTCCTTCCTGTTTAACTATCTTTTTTTTTTTTTTTTTACGTAGCATCACTACCAAGAGGACATGTAACAACTGTGCTTTGCGTTTAGCACTAATGTTAGCATGCTAAAAAACCAAGATGGTGAACAGTATAAATGCTATACCTTCTTACCAGTCATCGACATAAGATTAGTTAAAGCATCGAGCTGCGAACTTAACTGTAGACTCTTTGCCTTGTTCTATCTAGTGTACAAATCTGATTATGAGGCTTCACAAAGATGGAAAAGAATACTGGAAGACCAATTAAAAATCTGTTGGAACTCAGTTGCGTCATAAATCATGAGGTATAGAACAAGCCAGTGCCAATAATCAGAGCTGCAGTGGTGGTCCTCCTCAAATGGCAGCACAGACAGTGTGATACTTGTACAATCTAGCTTTGAAAAACACATGGACAAGTACAGGGCACAGGGATTATCAGTGGAAATCAGTTTCTGGGACAGCTCAGGCAGTGTGAAGAACAAAGTACAACATCAACCTCTATGAACAGAAGAACATCCTGCTTGCTCTTTAAGAGAAAACTGAAAGATTAAACTTTACGTAACACAACAAGAAGCCTTACAAATATTAGATTCTTTGGTCAGATGAGACCAAGATAAATCCAGCATGTTTATCGTGACCCTGACCAGGACGCAGTCAATGCATAGTCCTGACAGTGAAGCACAGCGGTGGGAATGGGATGATATGGGGGATGCAGGAGTGCAAAAGGTGTTGGGGAGATGAAATTTTCAATAAATGCCTGTGGATATACCAAAAATACTGGCTGATCCCAGTCTGCAGAAGCTTGACAGAAGAGGAATATTGCTGAATGATAATGATCCAAAGCACACTGCCAAAATCGCACATCAATACTACGACCTGGCCGAGCATGTTGCCTGACTGGAATCCAATAGAACACCTTTGGGGTATTTTAAGAAGAAAGACAGAGCAACACAACCCCCTCCAGCTAAGAGCAGAATAACAAAAAATCTCTGAAGAATAGCAGGACTTCTTTCCAGAAATTTCTGCAACATGTTTTTTATTATTTTTTAATGCTAAGCGGGATTGAGTGTGTCAGAAATAACAGTGGACGCACAAAGTACTGAAAGTAAATTAAATGATTTGCATCTTTAAAAGTGTATTGATTTTAGCTGCATTTAGTTTCTACTGTGGGTTCAGTGTTTTTCATACAATCCAAATAGTTTTTTTATTCTACACAAGAGCAAATACTCCACTGTTCAAATTAGAAGTGATGAAATTACTGTGAAATCATACATTTAACATTGAAGTAATATTGCACACGCACTTCTCTTGTATACTGTATGCAAACTACTTTGAATTGAATTGTGAAACGCGCTCCGCAAATCAACTCGCTTTGCCTTTTACCCACATTTCCCCCTGCAGCTTGAACCACGCATCAATTCTGTCTCCTCTTGTTCTCATCATCTCCGACTTTAAAGCCGGCTGCTCACGAGCTCTATTGATGAGCGCCGGCCCACTATAAGAGTTTAAAAAGAGAAGTGAAATTGCTGAAGCCCTCCTCTCTAAATTACAAATAAAGTATCCAATAACTAAGACGGTGCAGTTCTTCAGTGAGCTGGCATTGTGGATTCATTTATGGCAGAAGCGGGGTTTATATTATGTTGCCCCACTGGGGGATAGCTTTGACACTGACGGTCTGTTTTAATTGAGATAATGAATGTTCTTTGGTTCTTCATTACTATTGGTTTCTGGTGCATAATTGCATTTCACCTTAGCCAATTAGTAGAGCGAACTATTCTTCTGTCAGAGCGTGAGACGAGCGAGAAAAGAGGGGGAGAGAGAAACAGAATATAAAGCGGATGAATAAACAGACAGCCGAATATTCTGACTGAAACAAAACAAGATAAGAGAATGGATAGAGGAAAAAAAAACTGAGCAGAAGACAAATAGAGAGGCCAAGAGAGAGTGGCACATTTTAATTTGCATAAGATGCCGAAATTGATTTTCCAACTTAATTTAATTGTGAGGAACAGTCTGGATGAATCTATTAAAGTTGTTCTGCATCGACCTCAGCGGTCCCAGATTGATTGCGCAGAGGGAGAGCAGAACTACAACGCTCTTGTCTCTTCCTCGACGCTCGGCGAGTGAGCATCTGTCTGCATATTGGAGACAAGATTTACAGGTGCTTTCCGTCTGTGTCGCTGCGAGTGAACGTGTAAAGCAAGAAGGCGGGCGAGGGGGGAAGAAACAGAACCTTATCTTTATCTCCGAAATTTATGCGGGGAGCTTTGATTGATGGCGGATCCAAAAAACGGTCGGACGCTGACTTCTACTGATTCATCTGGGGATCTGCTGCCTTGTTCCCCCAACAGAAGTTATTAAGGAGGGAGAGGAATTTGGGGAGGATTTACGAGTATTTCTGATCCTATCTCATTTTGTAACATTCAATCTGATGGAAAACAGTCACAAAACATTCCTCTCTAACTCAAACAGAACCTTTTGACAGTCAGTCACAAACAATATATAACAGCAGCTGGTGACTGTTTTTTTTTTTTTTACATCTTGTGTCATACAGTAAAATGAAATTGAAAGCCATAAACTACAGTCTAATTATGGGATGTTTTCTATGTCTTTCAATTTTCGTCCCCTCTGTTGCATTGTATTTCATTATGTTGTGTCTGATTAATTACATAGCATAACTCCTCCGAAGCCTCAGAAGTCAATTTGAATGTCTAACATGACACAAACAACGAGAATGTCGGGTAATGTATCGTGCTGGACAGAGCAAACCTTTGTACCTCCTGTTATTGATTTTTCTCATCTACCCTGATATAAATTCTTTGTCCATGTCATGGAGGTAAACATGTTGGGTTCGGACACAGAGCAACTGAAAAGATTTTTGTTTTAAAGACACTTCTGTGGGATGGATGCTCACAGTGTGAACCAACAAGAAAACCACCTCGACCCTTCTCAGATGGCTCAGTTGTTGAGTTAGCAACTTTCTGACGGTACTTAAACTACTCCTCTCTTGTCAAGTCTTAAGCTTATGTCTTTATTTTACATGTTCCATTTGATAAATGTTGCACTGTGAAGACAAAAATTTAAAAAAGTGACACAAATTCAGGAACTTTGGCAAACTGCACACTGTGTTTATGCAGAGTGAATGGAGGCACCATTATTCCCCAGTATTGGTAAAACATGTGGGCACCGAGAAAAATGCAGTACGTGTTAACTCTTATTATTCATATTTTCTTTTATTATTATTTACAGAATTACAACTTTGTCACACTGCACACGAACCATATTCGTCTACTCCACTTCTACTCATGGTTGTGCTGTTTCCATACTGGTGCAGGACTTCATATTCCAGTGAAAAATGAGCCCACAGTGAGTGAAAAAAGTGCAGAAACTGCCTGGAGTTCAGAGGGTTCATGTGCCTCTTTACATGCAAGCAAAGCTGTGCTGCTTACCTCGTAGGTTGCGTATGAAGTCCTCCAACAACATCTTGCGGTCGGGCTTGATGTTGGGGCTGTACATGTCTGTGTTGAGCAGAATGATGGCGAAGGCCAGGATGAAGATGGTGTCCGGATTGTGGAACTGCTGCACCACGTCGGGGTTACACATGCAGTAGCGCTGGCTGTGGGTATAAACAAGAAGGGGCAGGAAACGGTAAAAAATCAGAGGTGGCAGAAGGAAGAGAACAATAAAAAGTTTTATGTAAGAAGAGATGAGGGATGAGATTAAAGGTGGGCGGGAAAGATGATGGAAAGGATGGGGATGATTGCATGTGGTAATAGATATGGCTTATGACAAAGCATACATACATGTAGAGGTGACAGAGAGGGAGGAGACGGAAGATAAAAATGTTTTTAAAAAGCACACAGAGAGATGAATTAGAAAAACGTATGGGACAGGAAGGGATAACGTATGAATGTGTTTTCCTCAGGAGCTGAACTCATCCTTCAACATGCTCATAAACATTGCGGCACGAGCTGAGTTATGGTTTTAATTTTGCTCGTGACTTCATGTGAAGCTGTTGCCCTTTAGCAGCAATGAACTACACAGCAGGTGACGGTGCAGAAGCTCTACACGCTTACACGAGCTCCACAGCAAACTAAGGGTGTCGGCTGTAACGCTCGAGGAAAATGATTCAAAGAAGGTCGTTTCAGAAGATCCACCCTCCTCGTCGCTTATTTGCACACCGCGACCCAAATGCTGAAAAAGTCCACCCAGTCCTTTTTAGCCATTTATTTGCTCGGTTGCTGGATTTATGCAGGTTGTCATTGTGCTGGCGAGAAGAAATATACATTTTGAAATATGAAATCCCTTACCTAGGCACCTTTTCTGCAAACAAATGCCACAGAGGACAGGCTCAGTTTGATGTAGCTCCAAAAAAAAAATCCCAGAGATAAAAGTGTAGAACGGAAATGCAGCTGCTTTGTGTGCTTATGGAAGCCATGAAAGTAGCAGATTTCTAGACGCCTCCTTTGTGTGTTTGCATGTATATATATATATTTATATATATGTGTGTGTGTGTGTGCGTTCAAGAAAGTAGAGCCTGGAGTGCAGGGATAAATATATTCTTCTCGCTGTGAGGTGTATGGATAGTGGAAGGTTATGGCATGAATAATACAACACATCTGTGTATGAGCAATCAAAGAAGCCTTATACGGAGGAGAAAGAAAAAAAAAAAGATGAGTGTGGACTTTATGGGCTTGGCGTTGGAGTGTACTGTATACTGTAATCATTACTGTAATCAGTCATCATTTCCATACTGAGGCTGTTGCAGTGTTTTGCTGACCCACTGAGCCGCATGATTAGAATCTAATGTCTGTGCGGGATTGAGTAAAGACACAGATTTCGGTGTGCACATGTAGGTTCAAACCTTCTTGCGCTGTTTTAATACGTTTTTAATCTTGAAAAGCAAACACAAAGCTTGTATGGGCGAACATGCATGTCAGCCACAACATTAAAACCACCTGCCTAATATTGTGTAGAACCCCCTTGTGCCACCAAAACAGCTCTGATTTGTCAGGTAATGGACATGAGACGTGTAGGGGTGCAGTGTTAAAGAGATGTTAGCAGTGGAACCTTTGGACTGTGTCCTCTATGGATTGGGTTTGGTTCAGTGCATCCCAGAGATGCTTGATGGAATTGAGATCCAGGGATTTTGGAGGCCTGGTTAACACTTTGAGCTCTTGGTCGTGATCCTCGAGCCATTTATGAGCAATTTTGGTGGTGTGGTGGTGCAAACTGTGGTCCTTTGAGACGAACATGACGACTGCAACACTAAAACCAACCTGGATGTAGTAGCAAGTTTTGGTGCAGCAAGATTAGTTTCATGCAGCAATCAAAGCTCAAATTGGGAGAATTGAGACTTGAAAAAAAAAGGGCCGGAAAAACAAATGAAGATATGAATTCAGTAAATTATATGACACAAGTTTGCGGTTGTAATGTGATTTCAGGAGCTAAGCCTGATCTTGGTTTTCCATTCCAGTGTCATGTCAAGTATGTTTTAACCACTTTGTACAGCGCCATCGGTTTTAACCGTGAGGTAGTTGGTTGTAATATGTATAAGCAGAGCCTCGGTTTATGTGTTCACCCATCAACAGGTCAACAGACCTATTAAAGTTTTGGAGAGGTATCGTTTTCATACAAAATATTTTATGATCAAAGTCGTATAATCTGAAAGGTCGTTCTCTTGCTGGAGGAATCTGCTGGCATTTGGGTGTGTTGTTGCCACGGGGAGGCTGTGTTTAGTCTGGAATAATGTTTAGGTGGGCATTAAGTGTCACAGTGACATCCACATGAATGGCAGGACCCAACCTTTTTTTCCAGCAGAACAATGCAACGTAACGCAAAGATCAGCATTACACACTTCACCCCCTACTGAAGACTGTTGCTAATTGGTGTGCATATATCTCATAAATAAAATGTTTTCTTGTGTTTGCGGAGTCCCTCTTGCAGTATTTGTTTAACATGATAATCACAGAGCACACAGATGCTCATTCGCATCTCAGTGTCTGCAAACCGTGACTCGACAGCAACCACTAATTACACCCTTGTCTGTGAATCCTAATGTAGCACCGCGTGGTGAAAAACCCCCCATTTACGCTGCTTTCCGAGGGTGCTCTTACTCCGCACACCGACGAAGCGCCAAACAGAAATGAGAGGGTAAAATGACACATGATGTCTTCTCAGTGAATGATTTTGTCAGGCTGTTTTTCCCCAGACCAACTTCTGCTTTTTCCTACAGATTGTTAAAGACGGTGCAATCCGTCAGTCATTACGCGCTCCTCAGAGGGCAAAATGATACAAGCTGCACGATCCTTATCTGTAATAACTGCGATATATGGGGCAGAAAATGCAGTGATTGTCGAACGAGTAAATAAAGATACTACACTGGAATGCAGAATATAAACGGAACATATCTGCAGCACTGGGAGCTGGTTCATATTTGCTCATTCATTAGTACACTGACGCAGCAGATACCGAGGCTGCTGGCTGCTTTTCACTTTACCCCCTCGCTTCTTTTTTTTTTTTTTTTTTCACTGCTGCTTCAAATCCCCTTCACTTACTTTGGAGATTTCTCTTTTTCTTTGTGTGTGTGTGTGTGTGTGTGTTTGGAGGCATTTCAAAGCCCAGGAGGAGGGGAGGCAGGCACATAGAGGCAGTGGCGGTTACGCAACGTTGGTTATTTATAAACCATCCTCCCTCTTTTTCCTCGTTTCCTTCCTTTCCTAGTTCGTGTCCCTTCCCTTCCCTTCCCCTCCCTCTTCTTCCTCGCCTCTCCTGCTCCTGATAACACGCAGCGCCGGCCCGATGTCCAAACATGAGCTGTGCCAAAGCTCCCCTGCCCACCGACTATGACAATGCAGCCGTTTTTCTCCTCATTGGGCACCTTGACAACTGTGACAGGTGGTTGTTACTCGAGAGGGGCGACGGCAAACAGTTAGCATTAACACACAGCGCCACAGCTGCACCGCAAATTGTCACCCTGTCGCAATTTGTGGCCAGAAAAGCGTTGCAGGGTGTATTCAGATGGAGGGGGGGGGGATGGCTTGTCAACATTTTCAGTGCAGCCACGCGGAAAGAAAAGTGTATAGAAAAAGGATTCATGTGCAGATATGTCCACATATGACCTCTCCAGTGCTGAAGTGGTGAAGCATGTTTGTGCAAGAACATCAGTGCATGTTTTCATGTTCCCTCTGTGCTACGCAGCAGTGCTCCTGGACAAAAAAGAAAAAAAAAACCAGCAGCTTGAACTGACATCACACAAAAGACAAATCACAAAAATCACATCTGTACTTCTCAGCATGTTGCTTGATGTCGGCGTATTTTGTGATCAAAAAACCTGTGAATTGAATCTTAAAGCACTGAAAGAGAAGTCTGGCCCAGAGGAAGTTCGTGAGTGACACTTTCATTTTCTTTTATGTCTTCTTTCTTTTTTTTTTTTTTTGGAACACCCACTCCAATATCAACACACCTGGAGTTACAGCAGAAAATAGATGATACTACATAAGGGTTACTTTACATATCCTACACCATGATAAATGCTCTCATCCAGCATCTGTTTTCCCTGCATAACAATGTTTACAATCGTGATATATCATTTAGACATGGTCAGATCTCTCTGGTTCTTGTGAGTGTGTTCATTGAGGCTTGAGCGACTGGATTTCTTTCTGGAAAATATGCACTTTACAATGATAACTGTAGCAAATTTAATAAATCAACATTTGAGCAGGTCTACATGGTGACCCTTGATTTTGTCGACGGTCCAGATGTTGCTGGTGTCATTTAAGTTAAGCCGCACTTAATAGGATTCAGGCACTGTGCTACCACCCAGCATCTACGATTATTGACAAAATTTTAGTAAAATACACCCTCCGCCAAGGAGATGATTTCTGTTCCTGTTTCCTCCACAGAAAAGGGAAACAGCTACATTAGCAATGCAAGCTTTAGCAACACTCCTAAAAAAAAAAAAACCTCCGCCAATATGAGATTTTCATGTCTACTTATGTTTGTACGTAATAAAATAGACTTTTCTTTGGAGTTGACAAACATTTGTTAGTTAGTCCGTTCAGCTGTTTCTCTACTTGTTGAACCAGATAAACGGTTATGTAGCCACACTAACCTGATGAGTAGCGATTAATGTTTTTTTATGTGTTGTGAGAGTTGTTTGATACATATTCACAAAATAACTGTTGGCTAATGAGCTCGTTAGACCTGCTACTTTGGAAAACTTCGGTGGCAGCAACTTGACGTAATACAGTAGCTAGCTAATTAAACGAACATTAGCTTCACAATTTTGTCCAAAAACGACGTCTCTGGCTAACTTTTTAATATTGCAAACTTACTTTTATTTAAACAAGAATCTTTTATAAGGGGTATTTCTTTCAAAATTTTCCGCTCATAACTGTGATTGAACCTGCAGACTTAACCTCAGGCGACGAGCGAACATCCATTAATTATCCATGTAAAAGAAAATTCATTCTAACCAAACCACCCTGCTTAGTTTATCGACAAACAATGCCGAGTGGTTTGTATGCCTCACAAATTCAAGAAAGCACAACAGCACTGCTAACATTAGCTTGCACTGTGATGTAGCAAGCTAGCATGGGCTTCCAGAGTGGGTAAATACTACACCAAATATCAAGAGCATGAGGTTTTGTGAAGGTAGTAAACTACTTAACTAATGTAAGCTGCAAAGGCTAGCGTACCTAGAGTAGACGAACACCATTTACCATCACCAACAAGGGTTTAGCAAACTGTCAAAAGGATTGAAAAGTGTCGGGAGCTATTTCACTTCAAGATAAGCATCCCATTCGTTTTCCTTTTGATCGTGCCGCTCATAGTTGGATTCCTTCTCTATCTTGGATCAGTATGAAATTCTCTGATACAAAAGACCAAGAACTGTAATTTAAAAAATAGCTTTGGAAATCTGCAACAAACATCCAACCGCCAAGCTTAAAATCCTGTGATGTTTGCTGCTGATAGTGGGAGGAAGCACAAGATGAAACTGTTAAAAAAGAAAATGCAATGTGCAGTTCATTCATATTCAGGTTCAACTGCAGGTGAATCGTGTGCCTGTTTTGTTCTCTAATTTGTGCCTCTCCTCGATGCCAGTGGCAGCGAAGAAGTGTGGGTGCTGCAATATTTAGTCCCATCTGTCATGCCAAAATGACACAGAAAACATGAACCAAAGCTGTAGAAGTCTGTGCAAACTGCAGCTGATAAACCCAGACTCTTGCTTGCATGAGTACCTGAAGGCCTCGATAAGACGTTCCACCTTCTGGGCTTCTCCCTGGACGCGAATGTGGGCCTGGAACTTCCTCAGTGCTTCGTCCAGCTCCATGCCTGAGAAGTCCATCTCATCCACCACACAGCTGTGGAGCATAGAGAGAGAGAAGGATGAGATAAGGAAAGGGTAGTAGGGAGGAAGACACAAGGCGGAGGAAAATCTAATAAAATTCACAGCAAAATTCATGGCAGTTTGTCAATATGATGGCGGTGGTTGCACCTTCACCGGTGGGCTGGGTGAACCTGTGGATGGGAAGTCAAGATAAAAAAGAAGCAGAAGGCTCACTCATCTGCTTGCCAGTCACAGCAGCCCTCCGTTTGCTGCAGGCATTAGCCACGCACGGACACCAGGGATAAGACCGGGCCCGGCTATCTTCTCTGTGCCACAGCTGCCAAAGCATGCACATACACACAATGCCTCAGAGCAGAAAATCCTCCAATTACCTGGCAACCCCGGCTTAATGACTTTAATTAAAAAAAGCAAAATATCCCGTCCGACGAGTTCGGGGAGGGGGTGGAAGGATAAATACAACGTGGGCAATTTGGAGGTGAGATGAGGTTTGAAGTGAAAGGTGACTTTGGAAATGGGATGGGGAGGTTTTAAAGTTCTCCTCGCTTTGATGTGAGGTGTTCTGTCGAGGTACAAAGTGGAATGATAATCAAACTATGAAATTAAAGTCTCATTCGGATTGACTTTCATGTGGTTTACTTCAATGCTACCCACACTGGTTCAAGACGAATTAATCTCTTTTTTTTCTTTAGTTATGGACAGCGTGTTCAAAGGAGAGATGATGGAGTTGATCTCCAAATCCTCAAAAAAAATACAGCAGCCGTGTCAAGACATCGCCATCTGCCTCTGATCTTTTCTGTTTGTTGTACTGCAGGAAACACTGGGATACACACACACACACACACACACACCCCTACACACACACACACTACATTAAGATGGATTACTGTGAACAAAGCGAGTTAATGAGGTGAGTACTTGACTGTGACACATGCTGCTCCAGCAGAAAAGAGTCAGATAGCTGAGTCTACAGTACTACTTTACACAGTGAATACCACAACATGAGAGCAAAATCTGCTCTCAATAGAAACGCCCTCAACTATTACTCATTTTACTGCTAGTTTTACCACCACTAAAAGAACCAAGAACTACTTCCAGGTCTCCAACTTTACTGAAACAATTGCTCCTTCTCATACTTCTACCATTGCTACTATAGACTTGTCTAAATTACTACTAAAGTAACAACATTCCTACTCATACGTGTCTAGTGTCCACAGCTTTATTACTCCAGCCACTACCACTATTTAAGTCACTTTGGAACAACTACTACGACTAGTCCTATACTACTACTTCTGCGTTACTACTTCAGCTATCACTTGTCCCATGTGTATCACTAATTCAGCTTTCCAATCACGACATAATCACAACATATTCTAACTATGACATTACTACAGCACAGACTATTTCTACATCATACTGAGATCTGGAGGCAAAGAGCTCCACAGCTGAGGGGATCGAACAGCAAAGACCCGATCAGCTTTAGTGACAAGTCGAGGCTTTGGAACCATCACTGGGACTCTGCTGGAGGATCTCAGGCAGTGATGAGGCTCATAGGGAGTTAACAGATCACAGATGTAGGCAGGAGCCTGATCATTCAAGGCTTTAAACACAAGCAGTAAGATCTTCGAGTCAATTCTACAATTCACTGGCAACCAGTGAAAGGCAGCAAAGATTGCGGTAATATGGTTGCTTCTCTTGGTGAGTGTTAAAAGCCTGGCAGCAGCATTTTGTATAGACTGCCGTCCTTGGATGTTTCGCTTGCTGATACTAGAATAAAGGGCGTTACAATTGGTAAGTCTGGAGGTTATGAAAGCATGAATGACCTATTCTGAGTCTGCAGAAGAGAGCAATGACCTGATCTGAAACAAGACTGCTTCCCTTTGGTCACCTGATCCTCAAAAAAGAACAAAGTTTATACAAACATTACTTGATGAGGAAGCCAGATTAGAGGCGAAATTGTTAATGCTGCTAGAGCTGCTCCTGAGGGGGGGTCAATTATGAACACATCAGATTTGGAATCATTTAGCTGAAGGAAATTCTTAAACATCCAATTTTTAATTTTTAGCAAGGCAGGCCATAATAAGAGACCTCAGTGGTACTGGGCTTTAATGGGAGATACAATTAGGTGTCATCTGCACAACAGCAGATATCAATGTCATGTCTATGCATGCTATGCCCCAGGGGTAGCATGTATATAATGAACAGGAGGGAGCCCAAAATAAACCCCTGAAGGAGAGGAGAGGAGAGGAGAACAAGCAATACTTCTGTAGTTTATCAACATGTCTATACAACTTCAGCAAAAAAAAGATATTTACAAATATTTGCTGTTGTTTAAAAGAACATGTATGTATAATATTTATTTATAACACTGTAAATAATGTCCACATTGAAAATAGGTATTTCAATACATGGTGATTTTCTCTGCCAAATGACAATTTTTTTTTCTGCATTTGAATCAGCAAAAATATTTTACAGATATTTGCAGACGTAAAATGTAAGTATATTAATGACAGAAAAATGAACAATTATTTAAACCAATCTCTTACAGATTTCCTCTGTTTTCTGGAGTTACAGATAATATGTTGCAAAATCACAAGAAAAAAAAAGTTCATTTTAATAACGCAAAGGCCAAATTGTTTTTGTTTTTTTTTTTTACAAATGCATTCCTTTCCAATGTGTGACTGTAAAAAGAACCAATACTTCTGTGGTTTCTCAACACCACTATGCTATTACTTCTATTGCAATGATTCTTATTTATGGTCTGTCTTGTCATGATACAAGCACTGTGATACACTTGATGCCGCTAAATATCTTTGCAACCACTGAGGACTTGTTTTTTGTCAAGCACCTTGCATGTTATTGACCAGCTCACAACACATAAAAACCTCTTACCTTCTTGCTTTGAGGTGACAGCACTGCTTTCATACAGCTGATGCAACTAATACACAATACATTGTTTGAACTGTGTCTCTAGCCAACATAGATTGGATTTAAAGAAGAAACACACATTCCTAACACAGCGCTTACAAAGGTTAAGCGTATAGTACAGTAAGCCTGGCTTGATGGTCCTCTTGATCAACTCCCCTGACTGTCGGGCCTCTCTGATCGCCCTCCTCATGACTCACTTCCCTCGCTCCACCACCTCCCTCTCCTCCGTCCCCGGCTGTCACTCCTTGTTTATGTAATGTCAGACGAGATGCTCTCTAGCCTAAGTACATCAGCCCTCTCCTCCCCCCTTCGCATCGCTTCCCCACACACACACACACACTAACATGATAAAACATACGCATGGGAGACCACACATGCACAGAACACATGTGCACGTTGTTGGATTTCACACAGTTACCTGGCAGGAAAATGGAAAACATCTGTCCATATAGCACAGCTTCAATTGGCGCAAACACGTGAAAATGAAAAGAAATACAAAGCCACATGGCGCCATATTTTGAGCAGCCAATAAGGACATGACAGGTTCAAACTGATCTCATTTTTCATGCTGAATAGGTAAACTACATTATCAGTAAATGAGTCCTCTGGGTGCCACATTTCTGGGAACCTGAATCTATAAGCACAATTTGGCTTAATTGACCCAAGACGTTTTAACTATTGTTGTTTATGCTTGAAGAAATGAGAAGAGAACGAGGCCCCATTTACTTTATAGGAAGGGAAAGGAGGGAGGTTCAGCAATACAAGAGACTGGAGAAGAAAAACACAAATACACATGCGTTCACAAGCTCCCCCAACACAGTCTCACACATTCAGGCTCAGTAAATCACCATGAGTGATTTTCACATTAGACCGCTATCCCTCACTCGCTCTCCTGTGACTACACTTTATCGAAAGTGCTCTCTCGCACACTTTGCACTCTCCTATGATGTTCCTCTTCAACATCACTTCCATTACGGGCCGCCGCTGTTTGACTGCTGCCGGGAAAGTAGGGAAAATATACGTCTATATATCCCAATGTCACCTGCGCCGCGAGTATATCTGCGCTTGCGAATTGAGAGTTTGAAGCCTTAAGAGCATAATCCTGTTAATAAAACGTCTCCGGAACCGTGACGGTGCCTGTTTAAGAAAATATAGATATTAGATGAGGGTGACGAACAACTCGGTAGAGTGCTATGTCATGTTTGTGTGTGACCTTGCGGAGAACGGAAAGTGTCGTCTCGGTTCGGCCACTTGTGCAAAAAAAAAAAAGGAGGATGAAAGAGAGATCTGCGGAACCTCCTTGAATTGATATGCAAATTTAGAGGTAATTGGTGAATGGGGGAATGTAATAGAATAAAAAAGGCAATTACTGACATCAAGGAAGGTGCGTATTGAAAGATGGAAATAACTGTGCATGGGGGAGAGAGAAAATGACCTCTGCAGTTTCAAAGCAAATAACAGCAATCAGGTTAATGACCTGGAATGAAACTCACAGGGCTGAAGTGAGTCATGTGTGCACGCATGTGTGCCGCAGTGTCTTTGTATTTATTCAAGACGCATGTTCCTGGTCTCCAACCCTCCGGTTCATCTGTGTTTTATTGGATTTTTTTCCCCCTGTCTGTTCAGAAAAGGTTAAAAAAAACACACCGAATAATGCTCATTTGAAAAAATAGCTTTTTAAATCCGTTGCCACTGATAATAAATGTGTTATTCGATGAACACTTTACTGATTCTGTCCTGACCTAGTATTCATCAGCAGCACACTAACATTTAATAAACACATCATACTGCAGTCGAAAGCAGATTTTAAATATATATGAACATACACCAGTTAATTACAAACTCTGTGTAAATGCTTAAAGTTGTGCAGCTTCTGATCAAACAATATGTTGTGGAATATGTAGAAATAAAAAGAACCTTAATGTTCTGCATGGTGGCTTCACATAAAACACGTGAAAAGAACCGTATGTATGACTCTGGAGTAGCAACAGATAGTAAACCTGATGTGATCTGGGCGTGTTACTGAGAAAAAGACGGTGCCATATAGGAGGATGCAACAGTTTGGAAGCTATAGAAGGGACTCGGATCGCTAAAAGGCCAGATCTGACTCTACTAAAGTGCATCATAGGAAGCAAAAGATCTTTGAAGCTTGCACCATATGAGTGGCTTAAAAGTCAGGATACCTCTGTTGCTTCTACTTCAGCCATCCTTCTTCTAGCTGAGCTCACATTAATAGTCTTTCATTTTAATAAAACACACAATAAAAGAGGTCCTCGGGGAAATATGAGAGGAGCTTCTTTTTTGCCTCCGCCGTGGGCCGTGTTGTGTCTGTGTTTGACTGACAGCAGCTGGCCGCCTGCCAGCGTGCCGGTGCACCGAAGGGAACAAGAGACAAAGTAAACAAACTTGTAGCTTACATGTCATGGGAAGACAGCATGCTGTTAGCAGTGATTCTGAAGAGCGGCGACCGCACTGGAATCTAAGTGGACCGAAGTGACATTTGCAAATACATTTACATGCTGTTTAATGGCGCTGCAGCTGAATGGCTGATTAGCAACGGAGCCTCGTCCTTTCTCCTCGGTTTTCGTAGTGGCTCGTTCAAGAAGCTAAGGTGCAAAGGAAAAGACGTGTTTGTAAGACGAATGACAAGGAAGAAAAGGTGTTGTGTAGCAGGCTGCTGTCTGCCTGTGACGGAACGCTGATGTTAAAGCTTCACTCAAGATTTGATTGGCTGCATCCATTTATGCACTGACCCAAAAAATAAATGCAAAACCTTCATGTGACCAAAAATTCTTAATATAAACTTCTCCTGTTTGGTGTCAGATTTTTTTCAAGGGATTCACAGAGCAGATATGTTTGCTATAGCACAGTGGGCCCTAGGCTTTTTTGCACCGTGGACCGCTTTTGCCCACATAACAAAATACAAATCATTTTTTCCCATTAAAAAAGCGTCAAACAAATAAAATCACTTTTTATTGCTAAACATGTACTTACTTTTTCTTCTATCTCGATGTGTTTCTTAATTCATTGTGACAGCGGGCATGAAAACTGACAGATTCAAGTGTGAGAAATAAGCACAGGTGGAAGTGATGGGAAGACAAGCTTGTCATTTTTCAAAATAAAACAACTGCGCAGACTTCGCTGGAAATAAAATAAACCAAAAAACCGTTTGTGCAGCCTGGTACCAAATGACCCACGGCCTGGTACTGGTACTGGTTGGTGGCTGCTGTAGCAGATAAAAAAAAGTGCACTTTGATTTAGTTGCACTTCAACACTCTGAAATCTAAAATGTGCCAGCTAGTCTGAAATTAATGCTATCTTTAGAAAAATCATGAACGTTATACTTTACACATATTATACACCTCGATTACAGGTATAACAGGCTGGTATGAATTCTTAAATATCTGCATATGTCTACCCATCCAATTGTTTTTTTTTACACTGGCAAAGCAGGGTACATCCTGGACAGCTCACCAGTCTGTCACAGTGGCCCAGGAGAAAATGTATTATAGTTCACCTATTGACACGATATAGGTGTGCATAGTTTATCTGTGATATTGACACTGAAAATTCTGCCCATGTGCAATGATAACTTAGTAACTCGAGCCAATTATGGTGCAATAACAGATGTTTTCATTGTGACTGGGCAGCCTGTGGCCGTACTTTGGCTAAATGACAAAATCAGTGCTTCAAATTTCCCGCTTCGAACTCAGGATTCAGCTGTGGAACAAACGACTAATCTGCAACCGATAAACTGTGACTCTGAAGTGTAGAGAAGTCGTTCACTGTTAGATCCTGAACAATGCTGTCTCCATGTCAGGGGTCATTTAATTCCATGTACACACTGGAAGCTCTTGTTAATGTGTTGAGGACTGTGTGTACGCTTCATCATATAAAAAGCTGTTGCAGTCATCTAATGCTGCTTTTACTTGTGCCTGGACGCTGTAGTTAACTGAACCCTGGACATACGGCAAATAAATTTGACCTTTCCGATCTGGGGTTGTGGTCCCCCCCAGGCCACCTTTGGAAGCACCTCTGAACTTGTACCCATATATGCTTATGCATGACATAGCAGCACAATAGCACTTTATCGAATCCACACAGTGCATCTTTCTGTGCTCTAAGTGGTGACTGTGGGTTATGAAATCTCCAAGTTAATCTTTACATTATCGGATGACGGTTAAATTGCTCCTTGTGTCTTCCTTCCCATCTGATATAATGATGTCAATGTAACAGCAACTGTGGCTTTAATATTAATGTGACAAAACACGAAGGAAGCTTTCAAAGGGCAGGAAATTCTGTTATTTTATTTTTGCCTTATCAGCTCTTTCCTTTTTCTTCTATAATTCTCGCACTGCAAGTCAGCCTGCATTTACAAGAATCAGATAAGGGCTTATTTGTTGGATCGTGACACTTCAATTCTGCCTTGTTTTCAGCGTGTTTATCACACTGAGAAATATAATGAAATGTCTCTGTCAGGAAAAATAACACCTTTGACGTAAGTGGATACTGAAGTTATAATTTAGGTTTCACATTTGGATTTCGGGAAATCATTAGACCTCGAGCGAGGGCAGAAAAATGTCTAAACTGTAAAACCTGTGCAAAGCTTGTAACTAATAGGGCTGAGGATTTTCCATGTGTTAAATCCCCTATCGAATCCGGGGCGGCAGTTGACCCCGACCCCTGATCTCCAGGAAAAAGGAGGGATTACCGAGGAGAATCACCTAAAACGATTTCTGGAAATAATGTATGAAATCCTACTCACTCCAGGACGTCTCTGTTGAAGGGCTTCTTGCTGTTGCCGAGGAACTCTCCGATCATCTGTCGGCTCAGGCCCTTCCTCTGCAGCAGGAAGTGGGCCACGCCGATGGGCGTGTCCGGGATGAAGCCTCGTGAGATCAGGAACTGAAGGCCCTTGTCGGGATTTCTGAGAAAAAAGAATAAATGGATGAAAAAAAAGATTAGCGCTGCAACACTATATGCACTACATGTTGGTGATAGTAGACCGTGACAGATGATGATACTTAACCACAATCAGCAGCAGTAATAAGTCAGTTTGTTGGCAGGTGTAGGCGTGACACAGATCCAAACCACATCAATGCAAAGTGGAGCTCCATATTTTATGTGTTTATCATTTATTTATTGCAATAACATCTGAGAGCTGCAAAAAAAAAAAAAAAAAAAGAATTGTGCTAATAGGAAACTCTGTACTTTGGGGTGCTTACCGTGCCCACCTGCACGCTGTGGGTGGAGACTGATAAAGTGCAAAGACAAACAGGGCAGAAATCTCATCTGTATTCGCCGAATTACAACATTCATTAACAACCACTAAACAGCTCGACGCTCTAAATTTAGAGGGTATTTCCGCGATCATAATGGCTGATTTGGGATGCAGCTCTGAATCCCTGTTTGTGTTCAAAGACTCGGTGTTTCTCCCAAGTAGTATTTAACACACTGGGACTGAGCAAAGATTAGTAAAAGTTTGACATTTGTTTGTTGTAAAGTTTGTGACATTTTGCTCACTGTGAGGGATTATCTATGCCAAGTCTGTCCAGGGTGATTAATAAAAACCACAGGCGGATGGGAAAGTTGTAAATCAGTCAAAAAAATAAAAAAAATTACAGTTTTGAAGATGGTTAATAGTCATATAAACAGTTTGACGTCAAAGCGATTTACTCCCTTGTTCATTCATACACTACACGCTTTATAAGTGACACTCAGTTGTTTACCCCATAGTGACAAATACCCAAAGGCAACAAAGCTCAGGGGTATTTGCTGATATTTTGTAGCTTGCTATGATAAAGGCTAATGACACTGTTATAATTAATGATGACATCAATGAGTCGATCACTTCACATGGTGTCAATACAATGGAAAAAAATTCACGTGAATGCCACCTCAAGTCAGAACACTGACTAGACAAGTTAGCAAATTGAGTTTTTGATGCCAGAAGGTTTAGTATTTAATAGTGCAGATCAATGTATTGCACATCACTTACTCAGTCAACATTTTAATTGTAACATGGTCTTAAGTTGTAACTGTAGCATGACCAAGCTTAGCCACAAACTGGATTTATCAGCAGTAACCTCAATAACAAGTCTATAAACCAGTATTTTACTGCTAAGCAATCAAAACTTGGCAGTGGGTTTGAAAGGCAGGTTATGTTTTTAAAAAATGGCAAAATCAAATCATGTATCAAAGAAAGAATCTGTAACAAGCAGAAAGAATTGTATGATTTGCAACTTTTCACTGGCCTTTTAACTGATCATGTGTGATGAATGATTCGCTCTGAAAAACTGATGGAATCTAAGCCGAAAATGTTATTATTTCATCAAAATTTTTCTACATGTCTCATTTGAAAATGCATAAAAATTTATGGTTTGATCTCACTAGATTCAGTAAAAAGAAAAAAAAATGTTCCAACAGTCACATTATCAACAATCAATGAAATTCAACTTTTGCATCTTATAATGTGTGGCATCGTGATTGTGTTAAACTGTACAGAAGGCATTTCTGAGCTCTCTCTAGCTCTAGCCATCCCTTGTACTAGGGTTGCAAGGTGGATCGGTGGTTAGCATCATTGCCTCACAGCTAGAAGATCCCCGGTTTGAGTCCTGGTTAGGACACCTGTGATCTTTCTGTGTGGCGTTTGCATGTTCTCCTCGTGCAGCGTGGGTTCTCTCTGGGTTCTCTGGCTCCCACAGTCCAAAGACATGTTAATTTGTGATTCTAAATTGTCCGCAGGTGTGAATGCTTGGTTGTCTGTCTCTAAGTGTAGCCCTGTGATAGACTGGTGACCTGTCCAGGGTGTCTCCTGCCTTCACCCTAAGTGATAGACTCCAACCCCCCACGAGCCTAGTGAGGATTAAGTGGTGTATAGATAATGGATGGATTTTGTCGCAAGCATGTATTATCTGCCACTGACCAAACAAATATTCATTTTTTTATTTACTCCTCAGTGCTCTTGTTGAAACATTACATAATTACGACATGTTACCTGCAATGTGATTGTCAATTTGTACATAAATGTTATTTTCTGCTCCCAGAAAATTATTTGCAACGTGTTGCTCATATAACATTTTAAGGTACCGCTCACTCAACTTTAATGCATTTCACTCCTTTTTGCTTTTTCTCTTGTGAATGTTTAATAGAATCCTCACTGCACCGTACTTCTTATGCAGCTCTGATGCTTTTCACAACTGATACTTGTCTCTTTGTCATGTAAAACTAACCTGACAACCTCACCTCGTCTGCATTCTGTTATCTTCCATGTTAATGTACCAACTCATTTTTTTAACAAACTCGTCCGTCATTTCAGCACTGGTCTGACTCTTTTATGGTTTATAGCGTCTCATCTTTTTTTGATTTGCAGTCACATCATTGAATTGGCTGTCGGTACAGTTTTCACCGTTTCACCGCCGCCTCAAGTGAAAACTTCAAAAGGTCTGCACTGCTGCCGTTAACCTTCACTGCAAGTGTGTTTAGCTCACTGCATAGCTGTTCACCTGCAGTGCCATATACATTGTAAGGGCAGAGTAATTCAGCAAACTAATGCATGCAAAACCTACTGACAGGATCCCTTAGATTCATAGTTACAAGCTCCCTTGCGACTGTATGAGTTTCATGCGTGAGTAGTCTGTGTGAACATCTATTTTGCTGAGCAATGAGGTGTACTTCCATGCTTATGCCTTCAGAAAATAGTCTAAACATCTCATTGGTTTCCATGAATCATTGTTTTCAAACTATACCTCCCTGCCTATGATCCTTGTAGATGATCATTTTCAGCTCACTGCATAGCAGAAGTTACTTATGTATGAACAAGGGAGTAATATCTTAACTATTTATAACCCTATTAAACGCAGAGGGTAGCTGCTGTAGGGAAGCTGCCGCATTATTGTCACTGTTCCTTCCACAGTGTTTAAACCACAGCCTTTACATAAGAGTGTGTGACCACAGCTAATGGGTTTAGTAAGGCGAGGGCAGGACAGAGGGAAGAAGAGGGGAAGAGGAGAGGATAAAGGGCAGGATAGAAGAAGGAGGCTGAAAAAGGACGAGAGCGAGCAGATGTGGGGGAACAGGAGGCTGAGGACGGCGAGCGCAGGCCAGACTGCCTGAAAGCATCTGCTGCGACAGCCTCAGCTTCTAAGTCAACCTCTCAGCTGAAGGTGATGTCTCGCCAAATGAATTTGGCAGATATCACTCATTTGATGTTTGCCCAACAACAGATGGATCCCACTTGGTGATTATTATTCGTAATCAGGCGCGGATAGCGAGGTGAAAAATGGGAAATTATGCAGGAGAGACAAGACGGACAGATTTAGATGAGTGATGCAGAATGAAGCTGTCCCTCCTGGATAATCACTTGTATTAAGTGCTTTTCTAAATGCTGAGAATAATCCTTTTGTCGTGAGAAAAGTAACAAAATCCCAAAGTTGGCAGTTTAGGAGACCACCACTCATGTCCCATCTGCAGTGTACCTTCTTCATCAAACCTGTCCTGTAGTGTGTGCTTTGATTTTGAAGGAAAGTGTCAGTTTTGTCTTGATTATTTTCACAGGCATTATGTTTCTGAGTAAGGAATATGCAAGAATATCCAAAGTAAATTGTAGGAATGAAGGGGTGAATGCTGGACATTTAAAGTGTGAGACTTTGGGCCTAAATTAAGTGTCTGAAGCCCAGAACCTGGAGGCAGGTCTTGTGCCAAAATTGCCAAAATGCCATCAGAGTCAGAAATCATAAAAAATGGAGCTTCGCGTTAGTTCAGACAGGCACGGAGTCAGGCGGTCACATGGCCCCTCCTGGCCAATCGTCATTGCTAAAGTCCAGCCCACCCACTTAGCTGCTTTATAACTGAGGCAGCGTTCATTCATTCTGCCCGCTTCACGCTCACCACACCGCTGTTACTCCAGCCTCTGCAGATCATCAAATCTCCTCCTCCTCATCAACCACCACCTTTAAAAAACAGTTCAATCTCATATAACCCCGGTGTTTCCCATACCGTGGGATTGCAGGTTGCAGATGGTTCATTATTGTACCTTGAACTATGTAATCTAGATTCTGTTAGTGAAGACTGTTTAGTTGGTCTCGTGTTCATACTGTATTCGAAAAATTGTAAATTGTAAATTCATGGCTCTGCGGGGGTTTGTGATCTCAGGGATTATCTGTGTCATGCTTGCGCAGATCGTTCCAGAGCATCACGAGCAGCTAAATGTATGTGATCTCAAATAAATGGTTATAACCTGACAAAGTGTCCTGTCTGAACTGACAGTTCTTGACATTCCTCTGTGACATGCTCCTCCGTTAGGTAACCTAAACAAATCAAAGCTTAAAATCCTAATATTTCATCAAAATCACAATATTCCACCTGTCTTAATTTAAAAATTAACCAAAAATAAATTCTTTGCTCAAACCAGAGTCATGATATTCTCCTCAGTGCAACCAGAAAGTCATTAGTGACTCAGCTAAAACCAACGGTCACGTCACAAAAATGGAGGGTCTATTTAGCTGAACTCAGCTGAACTGCAGGCACTGTTTAACCAGAGCACATAGAAGACATGGAAACAAATAAAAAAATTAAGCAGTAATATATCTATAGTATGATAACACCTTTGGTCTTTTAAAAAAGCTTGAATATGTTGATTTTTCTTAGATTTTGTAAATAAAGTATTCACAGAAATTCAACTTTTTAGCCCCCTTTTTTAGGATTTATGTCATTATAAGCTTTGTTATGCTGCACAAAAGACATTTTAAGACTTGGACCCATGGCTGTGCTTTTCCCACCGTGGTGCAGGACTTTTATATTTTATTGAGAAACGACCCCGCCGTGAGTGAAAATCTGTTAAAAATGTGACAGCAGCAGCAAACACCTAGAAACTGCTTGGGGCTAAGAGGGTAACAAAAGCACTATGGTTCTTTGTGATTCATCATC